TATTGTGGTCTAAGAAGTTGCTTTGTGATCTTTCAATGGTTTTAAATTTAATGAGGCATCTTGTATGATCTAATAGAAAGCCTATTCTAGAGAATGATCCATTTGTACTGGAGAAGAACCAATGTTATGCTTTTGTTGAGTTATATATGTCTATGAGATAAAGTTGGTTAACTGTGTTATTTAGTAATTCTGTCTTACTGAATGTATTTCTTCTGCCATGCATAAAAATTGGTATATTAAAGTCTCCTACTATTATGACGAAGGATCTTTGATGCTTGATGGTAAGGAGTTGTACTGCTGATCCTAAAGCTTCTTTGTGGAAAATGGGCAATCCTAAGGCATACAGTTCGAGTCCATCAGCTGCTCTGTGGGAAATGATAGGGACTCTCCTCCTCTGCAGTTTACTGCCTCTGAAAACCCGCTGAACAGTCAGCTATGAGTCAGTTACAACTCAACGGTACATAACAACCTTATTACTATGGACTTTTCTATTCTTCACTTCAAATCCATTATAATTTGGTTTATGCATTTTAGGGCTCTGCCACTGGGTGTGCAATAATTCAGATTCTGCACTCTTACTCACTTGGTATAATGCCCTTCTTTCCATGCCATTTTTGTTTGTTTATGCCTAGAAAACATATTTTTTCAGGAATGAATATTGAGATTCCTGCTTTTTAAAATTGTTCCCCTCTTCTTTGGTTTTAAATATTTGTTGGCCTTTTTAAAACCCCTGTGTCTAAAGTCTGTCTCTTGTAGATCAGGCACATCTTAGTCTCCAGACTGTCATCATTGTTCTTTAGTACTCTGGAGAGATCACAGACAACACAATTTTCCAATGCAATTCATCTTTTGATTTCCTGGCTGCTGGTACCAAGAGTGTTGACTGTAGAGCAAAGCAAACTAAAGCTGTAACAATCTCAATCTCTTCACCGTCTATCATAATACTGCCAATCAGCCCAGTGGTGTGAATCTTTGTTTTCTTGATGTTGAGCTTCAATTCATATTAAAGGGCAGTCCTTGACCTTCTGCAGCAAGCGCTTCAGGTCCTTCTCAGTTTCAGCACACAAAGTTGTGTCATCTGCATAATGGAGGTTGTTGATGAGTTTTCCTCCAATCCTGATGCAACGTTCCTCCTCATACATAGGACAAATTTATGCTGAGTGACACAGTGAATCACAAAACAGCAGTTAAGGTATAAAGCTACTACTACAAAAAGTTGAGGAAATGTTTATATACAGATAAAAATTATTCATAGGTAATGAACAGAGATGGGTAGATAGAAAGAGAGGAGTAAAAAGTAGTAGGTAGATAAGTTGGGTAAAGGGAGAAGAAAAACACAGTAAGGGTTTGATTCTTTCCCACTGCTGTCGAGTCGGAACCAACTTGTAGTTGACTCACCAGTGCATTTTTGAAGGTTATAAAGGGCATAGAAGGAGAAGTGTCCATCTTTCCACTGTGGAACACTGGAGTATTTGAACCAGAAGAGAGACACACAACTCTTGGGTTAGCAGTGCAACTCCCTAGGGAATATGCCACCAAAGCTCCCTGAAGGTTAACAAGATATTGTGGTTGTTGTTATGTGCCATCAAGTCGCTTGCAACTCATAGCGACCCTATGTACAACAGCCCTAAACTCTGCTCTGTCCTGTGCCAATTGCACTGTTTCTGACACACCCATCCCGATTACCCCAGTCACTGAATCAATCCACCTCATAGAGGGCCTTCCCCTCCTGCGCTGTCCCTCCACCCTACCAAGCATGATGTCCCTATCCAAGGACTGGTCCCTCCTTACAACATGTCCAAGGTATGTTAGACAGAGCCTCAGAATCCTTGCCTCCAAGGAGCCACCTGGTTTAACCCTTTCCAGGATGAATCTGTTTGTTTTCCTAGCAGTCCATGTACCCTCAATACTCTTCTCCAGCACCACAGCTCAAAGGCATCAATTCTCCTTCTATCCTCCTTGGTCATTGTCCAACTCCCTGATGTATAACAAGTGACTGCAAAGACCATGGCCTATATCAGATGCACCTTAGTCTCCAGAGAGACATCAGCGCTCTTCAGTCCTTTGGAGAGGTCCCTAACAGCAGACTTTCCCATGGCAATACGCCTTTTACTTTCCTGGCTACTGGTGCCAGGAATGTTGACTGTGGAGCCAAGCAAACGAAAGATGTGAACAATCTCAGTCTCTTCACCATCCATGCTGATGCTGCCAATTGGTCCAGTGGTGAGAATCTTTGTCTTCTTGACATTGATGTTGTGGTTAGTCAAGTATAATTTATTTCGTAGAATTATGCCTTAAGAATGGCTGAATTAAAACCCAATAATGATGTGTAAACTGACTAAAAAAAGGCATTTTTATTTAGTGTTGTTACACTTAAGAAGACTTTATAGGATATTTTCCATTTATGATTGAAAGACTACCTTAGAGCAGTATCTTCAGTGATTTATCCAGTCCCTTCATTTTCACAAAGTTTGAGGTCCATGAGATTTTCAAATTTTGTCCTCCATTTTCCTTCTTTTGGCAATGATTAGTAGCAAGTCCTTAATGCGTATAAGCACTTGAATTTGTCCCATTCTGGATGCGTTCTATTTTGCATCTATGTAATTTCCATAGGTGAGAACTATCTTCTCGGACCAAAAAAATTGCATTTCTATCTTCTCACTCCGCTACATACTTGACACCATGAAGTCAGAACCAACCGATAGGTAACCCTTCATTGAGTTGTCAAGGTTGTAAGTCTTACGTGAAGAGATTACTCATCTTTCTCCACTGGAGCCAAGAGTGGATTTGAACCACCAGAGACCTCCTAGCCTGTACTACTAAAATTCCTTTTCTGTATTCTGATGTCAAAACACTCCACTCTAACTTCTTACCCATTCAAATATAAAAAGACAGGACTCCTGTTAACTTTGAGATTTTCTTCAACTAGCTGCTTAAGAATTTTCCCATCCTGGTCGCCCATCCTTAGATAATACGGACCAATACACATTATCTATCTATTTGGCCCATAGTTTCTTCTGCCCACTGTTGTTGTTGTTGTTATGTGCCGTCGAGTCACTTGCAACTCATAGTGACCCTATGTACAACAGCCATAAACTCTGCTCTGTCCTGTGCCAATTGCGCTGTCGCTAACACTCCCATCCTGATCATCCCAGTCACTGAATCAATCCACCTCATAAAGGACCTTCCTCTCTTGTGCTGTCCCTCCACCCTCCCAAGCCCTTGGAGAAGGACATCATCATCTGCCCATTAGGATAATTTAATATAAAAATTTCATATTATAAATATATGTTCAAGATCATCAACTTTGACAGCTTTATGGTTTGTTCTTTTTAATTTTTATTCAAATACATAGAATTGTTATTACATATAGTCTGATTGACTTTCTTCAGTCTTACCTCTTTTTCATGACTGGCGTAGAGTTTTAGACATACACTTCTGTAACCACATCATGACTGTATAACATTTGTCCTCTAGTTTGAAATAGATGTTTCAGATGCACAAGCAAATAATCCGTTTGTCAAATGTGCCATCACTGTCAGTTGTCCTATAAAACCTACTGAAGTCTAGCATTTTTTTTTCTTTTGGTAAAAAAATATATATCTTCATAATATACCTTGGCAGAAAATGTAACTCTTTTGTTCTTTCCCAGATCAGATACTTGAAAATGAGAGATTTCAAGAAGGGGGAATATAGCTCATTAAAATTCACTGGATTTCATCAGAAGATTCATGCAGTGTGTGAGAAAACTGCATTCAGCATTTGCCATCAGATGTGCTAATTGTCATATTCATGAAAATATTTTTTACTATGACTGACTTCTGGTACCCCTAAATAGTCAAGTCATTTAAACAACAGTTATGACTTTAGTTGTTACTTTGGTCTCCAAGCCCTTCTTCTCTAATGCCAGTAAGATGAATTTTCTCTATGGGTCATTTTCAATTTTAAAAGTCAAATAGAAAAAGATTCAGCCAAGTTTAGGACCTTGTGGCAAGTGGGCCTATGAAATCTCAGATATGGGAAGAGTGGGGTCAGGGATGGGCTATCTACACAAGTAAACCCTAACTGTGGTTCTGGCACTCTCTTAAGCTTCAGGAGTGGCTGCTATATTCCAGAGAGAGCAGGTTAACCTCCAAGCATCCCCAGTGAAGCTGTCCCTCAGTCACAGTTCTGCTTTGTGTGTAATCGCTTGGAGAAATGTTCTGATTTTTTAAGTGACTGACTCAATTGTCTGCATCTGACCTTACTTCCTTTTGTAAAGATGAAGATTTCATAAAGCAGAAACTCACTGGAGGGAGAGTAAGGCTTATGTCTTGCCGTCTTGTGATAGTAAAGGTTAGGCTTTCTAGAATCCTGACAAACAGCAAATCTTTTTGACAAGTAAAAAAATTCAAGCCACTTTATGTTCAATAGTTAACATACCATTCGATCAATTTGAAAATACCACACTTTGGAACTTTTTGTCATGTATATAAAAAAAAGAGCTTATAAAAATCCTTAAAAATGTATAATCTTACTAGTAATAAACAGAAAAAATATTAAGACACTTGGTGACTTATTTGGGCAGTTTTTCAAAGAGGAATGAATGGACATAGAGATGTTTTAACAATTAAAATTACCTATTTCATAATAACTCTATGATATAGAGTTCTATCGACAAAATAATTATTTTGGGAAGTAGAGTTAGAAATTTTCTCAAAATGTCAGCAACAACAAATAAAGTCAGCACATAAATAAACAACTGTATTAATTCAGCTGCATAAACAAAAGGGCATCAACTTTATGGCACTTTTCAACATGAAAATAGAGCTCAAGGCTTTTTAAAAATAATAACTTCCAACAGGAAAGATTATGTGCAACAAAATAAACCAATAATATTGTAAATAAAGTGCTATGAGAAAATATTAACTCTATAATCTCTGACTTATTGACAAAAGAGCAGGAATGCTATCTGAATGTTTAGGTATGAATTATGCATCAAACAGTGAATGCTAGCTTGACTAAAAGTCAGGTTTAGGATCATCATTTGCCATTTTTCTTTTTTCTTCAAGTATGTGCTTAAATATTTTCTTCAGGGTGTTGTAAACTACTGGTCCATTTTCAGAATCAAAATTCACCTGATGATAAAGAAAATCTATTTTCAGGGTAATGTAACAAGAATTTTATACAGTCTCTCTTGGGGAGAAAATATATAAAACCCATCAGACCAATAAACAAAGTTCTAACTTTTATAAATATATACAAAAGGTAATATTATAATTGTCAACCATGACATTATCATACTCATAAATAGAAACTCAAAGATTAAATCAAATGTTTGGCATAATCACATGCAAGTAACAACTAAATGAGACACTTACTTAGAGATGAATTGTTCATGGTAGCAGAGAAAATAGCACACATCAACTTTAAGTTTTACACTCACAAGAGGCTGTGGAAGCCACTGTGGAAGGCAGCAGAGAGTCACAGCTACAAAGTGGGAAGTATGGACTTACCATTACCAGCTGTGTAGCGCAGGCCAACTAACCTTTCTGGGCCTCTATTCCCTCCACTGTAAAGTAGAAACAATAATACTCACCACTTTCCCTTAGGATATTGCTTTAGAGTGCGAACTGAGTGCTGACTATCCAGTGGAATTCTGAGACTGTACATTGTACTGGAGGAGTCTGCCCATCTTTCTCCTGGGGAGTGTCTACTAGACAGTGTGCTCTTTGGGTTAACAATAAAATTCTTGCATTAAAAAAACCTCAAAAGTTATCTTCAGTTCTCCTTGAAAGAAAGTTACCTTGTATATGTATTTGCATTATTCCTCAAAGTTCAACATACAGAACACAGAACAAGACTACTTCTCCCTTAAATCACTGTTGATGTGTATTGTAGAATCAGAACCAACCCATAACTGACCCTCTTTTGGGTTTTCAGTAGTAGTTAATCATAAAGGAGATTACCCAATCTTCTCTTGTGGGGCAGCTGGTGGCTGTGAACCGTGCACCTTAGCAACTGCAGCTAAGCTTCTTGCCACTAAGCCAGAATTGGGATCATTTGGTTAACAGTTCTCTCCTCCTGGAATCTTTCCTTCTTCATTAAATCTTGATAAAGAGCTTGTTTCCTTTGTGAAGGATCTGACATTTACTTACCCTACTTGCAAGTTAACAAGCTGGCTGACCACAGTTGAGTGCTAGCAGAAGGATGAGATTTCTGTGTCAGAGATCAATCATGGTGAACTTCACATTCACCTCATTTCCCTTTTGCTTTCCAAGTTGTATAGGGTAGGTCCAGGTAATTAGTGAACATGCATCACAGCTGAGGAATTCCTATACTTTATAAGGAGAAATGTAAGAAAATTTGCCATGCTTTTGCCCTAAAGGGAAATATTAACTATGGTCTAGTTTGCTTGGCTCTACACTAACACTCTTAGTACCAGCAGCCAGAAAATTAAAAGATAAATTGCACTGGAAAGTCTGCTGTCAGAGACTTCTCCAAAGTACTGAAGAGCAACAGTGTCAGTTTGGAGACTAAGGTATGCTTGATCCAAGCCATGGTTTTTGCAATTACCTGCTGTGCATCAGAGAGCTGGACAATGATTAGAGGTGATGGAAGGAGAGTTCATGTCTTTGAGCTGTGGTGCTGAAGAAGAGTACTGAATATACCATGGACTGCTAGGAGAACAAACAAGTTCATCCTGGAGAGGGTGAAACCAGGCTGCTTCTTGGAGGCAAAGATTCTGAAGCTTCATCTGACATACTTTGGACATATTGCAAGGAGGAATCAGTCCTTTGAGAAGGACGTCATGCTTGGGAGGGTGGAGGGAATGACCCAGAGAGGAAGACCCTCAGTGAGATGGATTGATTTATTCCCTGGGTAATGGGGATAGATGTGTTGGAGATAATTAAGATTGGCAAGGATAGAGCAGGGTATAGGGCTGTTGTACATAGGGTCACTATGAATTGCAGGTGACTGGACTGCACATAACAACAACAAAAACAACAAAGCCTACTTGTAAAAACTCACTATTGGGTGTGGGGGTTTTTTTTGTGTGTTTGTTTTTGTTTTATTTCAAGTGAGAAAAAAAAATTGTAATTAGAATGCTGCTCTGGATGTGCTCACCAAGTGGTGCAAGAAATAGGGAGGACAACTACTATGACCAACTGACTGGAAGAGATTCATTTTTATTCCCATTCAAAAAAAAAAAAAAAGGTGACCTGACAGAGTGCAGAAATTATCAAACAATATCACTAATATCAAACACTAGCAAAATCATGCTGAAAATCATCCAGAGACTACTGAACAGTACACTGACAGAGAACTACCAGAAATATAAGCTGGGTTTAGAAGAGGTCGTGGCACTTGAGACATTATTGCCAATGTCAGATGGATCTTGGCAGAAAGCAAAGAGTACCAGAGGAATGTCTATCTGTGTTTAATTGATTATACAAAGACTTTTTTTTACTATTATTTCTTCCACTTTCTTCTTCTTCTTTTGTTTTAAAATAATTTTAATGAAAATTTACAGTGACTTTGGATTTCCATTCATCCGTTGTTGCACTTTCTCCCTATCCACCCCTCCCCTGCAATTTGCTCTTCTCTTTGAAAAGTAAAACAAAAATTCTTTGTTATACAATCCCTCCCCCAAGTACACTCCACTGTGCAGCCTTCATTCTGGACTCCTGTAATGACAATAATACCTAACCATATATCCCTTTTAAACAGTTCTCTCCCTCATCTGTTTTAATGCAGTATACATTATACAAAGACTGTGTGGATCATAACAAATTGAGGCTAACCTTGAGGAAAATGGGACTCCCAGACACTTGATTGTGCTTATACAAAATTTATACTTGGAAAAGGAAGCAGTCCTCAGAACAGAGTAGGGAAACACTGCATGGTTCAAAATCAGTAAAGGAATGCATCAGGAATGCATCCTGTCTCCATACCTTTTCAATCTATATGTAGAACAGATCATTCAGGAAGGAGGGTTTTATGAAGAGGAATGTGGCACCAGGATTGGAGGAAGACTCATCAACAACCTTTCATGCAGATGACACAACCTTGTTTGCTCAAACTGAAGAAGATCTGAAGTGCTTGCTGCAGAAGGTCAAGGGCAGCAACCTTCAATATGGATTGAAGCTTAACATCAAGAAGGCAAAGATTCTCACCACTGGGTCAACTGGCAGCAACTTGATAGATGGAGAAGAGACTGAGGTTGTTAACAATTACAGCTTGTTTGGCTCCACAATCAACACTCTTAACACCATCAGTCAGGAAATCAAAAGATGAATTGCACTGGGAAAATCTGCTGTCAGGAACCTCTCCAGAGTGCTGAAAAGCAATGATGTCAGTCTAGAGACAAATAAGTGCCTAATCCAGGCCTTGGTCTCCATAATTACTTGCTATGCATCAGAGAGCTGGATAATGACTAAGGAGGATAGAAGAAGAATTGAGGCTTTTGAGTTGTGGTCCTGGAGAACAGTCTTGAACATACCATGGACTGCTAAGAAAACAGGTTTGTCTTGGAAAGGGTAAGACCAAGTCTCTCCCTGGAGGCTGATTGGCAGCATCATGATAGATAGTGAAGACTTGAGATTGTTAACAGCTTTAGTTTTCTTGGCTCCACAATCAACACAGTTGGTACCAGCAGCCAAGAAATCAAAAGACATTGCATAGGGAAAGTCTGCTCTCAGGGACATCTCTAGAGTACTGAAGAGCAATGATGTCAGTCTGGAGACTAAGTTATGTCTAATCCAGGCAATGATCTTCACAATTAGGTGCTATGCATCAGAAAGCTGGACAATGACTAGGGATGACAGATTGACAATGACTAGGGATGACAGATTGATGCCTTTGAGCTGTGGTGCTGGTGAAGAGTATTGAATATACCATGGACTCCTAAGAGAACAAACAGGTTCATCCTGTAGAGGGTAAAACCAGGCTGCTCTTGGATTCTGATATACTCTGGGCATATTGCAAGGAGGGACCACTCCTTTGAGAGGGGCATTATGCTTAGGAGGGTGGAGGGACAGTGCAGGATAGGAAGATCCTCAAAGAGATGGACTCAGTGATTGGGGTAATGAAGGGTAGGTGTGTCAGACACAATAAGGTTGGCTCAGGATATAGAGCAGGGTTCAGAGCTGTTGTACATAGGGTTGCTATGAGTTGCAGGAGACTTGACAGCACATAACAACAACAACAATGATAAATTGGAGAATGAGAGAGGGAAGGAATATTACCCAAGACAAGTCAAGGTTTTAGCTCAAGTTCCAATGCACAATTCCTCAATTAGTTCAGGGTCTGGTTTTATTTCAGTAGTCAAATCTAAATAATCCAGCAAAATTTCCTCCAAGCAGTTTTAAATCAGTTTTTCCTTCAAGCATTCAGCAAAGACAGCAAAAATCTTTAACTGTGGCCTTTATCTCAGGGCCCTTCTGCTTACACCTTGTCACAATTTCTCTACAGCAATGCCAGTCTCTCCACCGCCAAGGTCTTGCTCTCACCAGGGCCTTGCTCCAGTCTTGCTGTCATAAGTCTTGCTTGCCTCAAGTCTTACTGTCTAGTGTGGGAAGCACTCTTTCTTTTATTCTATTCCGATAGTTGTTGATAACTTGTAAGGCCATGTGTCAACAGTTAAAGAAGCTGGCGACCAGAGGGGTCAAACTGTAATAGCTGAAAAAGGCCAACTTTTAAGCTAACGCCACAGCCCACCTTATGCCTTTTCTTAGCCATATTTCTCACTATCTGAAAGATCAGCCTTCCTCTCACCATAATTTATACTTAGGGAAATATGTAAGCCAGTTTTGTTGTTTTAAACTGCTTTACTCCCTATGTTGTAATCCTTTCATTTTAGATGTTGTTGTTGTTGTGGTGTGCCGTCGAGTCGTTTCCGACTCATAGTGACCCTATGCACAACAGCCCTAAACCCTGCTCTATCCTGCGCCAACCGCACCGCCTCTAATACACCCATCCCGATTACCCCAGTCACCGAATCAATCCATCTCATAGAGGGTCTTCCCCTCCTGCG